TCTGCTATTATTGCAATTATCAAAAATAGTGTCATTGAGTATAGGATAAATACGAGTTTATCCCTTATCAAATTTGGAATGGTTTATATCCTTGATTAGAGAACTTATGAAATTAGCAAGTACAAATATGGTTTATATTATTAGAGTAGGCAGTTAAATTTTTGTGGGATAAGTTGTAGAAGATATTATTAGTTAGTGGTACTTGGTAGTAACTATTAAGCTTGTACTACGTGTGTACAACAATGCGGTCTATTGTTACAATTTGTTAAAATGAAACAATTGTCAATATTTGAGATTCATGAGCAAATTTTTATTCGGTTTATTTTCTTTTGAAAGAGAAAGGCAAAACATTATTCGGCTTTCTTTTCTTTTGTAATTGTTATTATTTTACCTTTCTTGCTCATGAATCATCATGATGTTTTGTTTCTTCTCCATTCCTTCTTCCATATACAACTACATTTTTTTCTCTTGCTACTTATGCAATATGGAAAGTAAACTAAAGAAAGAGAAACTCATGAAAATTGTCAAGATTACCTTTCTATATAGCCAAAACCGAATATGGTTAGGGATAATCTCCCTTGTGATCTCCTAAGATCCACCTAGCACACACTTATTACTCTCTTTAGGCTAAACACCATCACAATTGAAATTCAACCATCTTTAATTAGCCCATTCCTCTGCATCTTCATCTACAACATCTTGAGTCATAATCCAAACTTATTTTATATTCCCGGTACCAACTTCAACAACTTCCTATGCAATTGGATAAATTCTGTTTATGTCCACTAAAACTGATAGTTATTTTCTATTATCTTTTTTTTTTTGGCATTTTTTTTTTTATCTTAATCCACAAAAACTCTATTCACTAACTGTTGTTTGAAGACAAATTTTTATTAGTTTGGAAAAGTTTAAAGTAAATGTAAACTCGATCACCAATCTAAAAATCATTATTATTTATCCGATAAAATTTAAAGAATTCCGACTAGATATACAATCCGATAAAGTATAACTCGACCAGTTAGCGAATCAAATCATAAATATTTTACTTTCAAAACGTTTGCTTTTAAAAAAGAAAAGTTTTTCACATAATATTTTTTTCTTTTTTGCAATTTGATTATATGGTTAAGTAATTTGATTTGATCCATTTTGAGTTTTCTTATATATTCGAGTTCAACTTTAAATTAGGTTGTAATCTTAAATAAAATTTATTTCTCAATTGAATAATGTTAAAAATATTAATTAAGAAAAAAAAAATATAATGTGAATATAATGTTTGAGAATTCGTTATTGTTGCATTCGAAATAGTTAATAACATTTAAAATACATTGTCTTTTTACTTTTAATAAATGGTAAAGTTAAAAAAAAAAAATTGTTGATTTGCAGTGGAATTAATCCGGTAATTTTAGAAGACTTTCAGATTCAGTTTTAAAAACATTAACATTCAGTGAAATTTGTTTTTGCCCAAGAAAAATGGAAATTGTTATATACTAAAAAATTGGAAAAGTAAAGAACTAGGGTTTTGCAGTATTTTACTGTTTGTTTGTTCTATCGCCTTATTCTTAAACGCCACCCAAAACACACACACAGTACTCCCCTCTCCTTCTTCTTCCATACTTTGCTTTGCCCTCTCTCATCACATTGCGTCTTCTCCTCCCGATCCTTCGATCCTCGCTCTTGTTCTTGATCCAATCGAATAGCATCCTTCTTTTTATCCTATTTCCGTGACTTTACCTCTGATGATGGCGGAGACTGAGGGATCATTGGCCGATGATCGAGAAGTGATGATCGGTCACGTCGGTCGTTGTGAGGCTAAGTCTCCGTGGAAAACTACGGCTTCTACTTCCGAGACTGTCGACGCTCCTGTAATGGGTGCTCACTCGTGGCCAGCGCTCGCCGACGCTGCGCAACAGCCGCGTCCCAAGAATCTTCCGACGGAGGCGGCGGCGGTGGCTCCGCCGTCTAAGAAAGTTCCGACCTCTACCCCATCCCCGGCTCAGGTTAGTCAATAACTTGCTGTATTTCGTTGTTGTTAATTTTGTTGGATTGTGC